CAAATTATATCTGCAACAAAAAAGAACACTGAGTCGATAGTCAAGCCAGTATCCAAATCTTTGATACAAGTCGAAAACACATCCACAAGAACTTTATCACAAGTGTGTAACTGTTGTTGATGTGTGAAACTAGATGGGGTTTAAATCATTACTGATTACTGTTCAAGAAACTGTAGAGGGTTGACTGATCATGTAATTATCCTGTGAAATTCACACAGTAAATTAATGATTACCTTCCAAATACCGACACCATAGGTAATAACAATTCTGTTATTATCTTCTCTATCAAATCCAAGAATTCACCAGAAAGTAAATAAATACACACATACAGTACATGATAATATTATATGAAAAGTTGAAAACACAGAGAGAGACCATATCCACAGGCTATATTAGGGCTCTCTCTCTATCTATATTTATATATTTTGTGTGTATATCTAGCTATAGATTTATACATAACAGCAGAGTACCTCTTTACAGTGTCAGACTCAAATCAATGAAGAAAGTGAAGAGAGAGAGAGAGAGAGAGAGAGAGAGAGAGAGAGAGAGATGGGCTGAAAAGGTTGAGAAAAAGATACACATCTTTATTCACTCAATTATCATACATTTACAACTCAATTTATTTCAAAATATTCCCAGAGAGGAAATCAAAAGAAATCCCACTACTACAAGAAAAAGCCCTGAACTACATATATATATGAATTATGAAGATCTCATGTATATATATTTCTCTATCAATTTCCCTCTTTTGAGAGAAGTACCTGTGAAAAGGTCAAATAAGGGAATGAATACTTGAGTGATATGACCCTCCTTTCTAAATCATTTGATGCGGCCAGGACTGATCCTGCTATGAGCTATAAGGAATTATTTTTTTTAGAGAGAGATACAAGAATGTTTTAGTGAGAGAAAGATGTGGATGGATCTCTGTGTGTATGTGTGTCAGAAGATCAATACATAGAAACAGCTGAAAAACGAGGAAACGTTCACTTCTCACTAAATATTTTATGCAATTCAATCAAGAATAATGAAAGAGACAGAGAGAGAAGAAAAGAGATTTAGATGATGATCTACCATGAAGTTAGCCTGGCGTGGGTAGGGTGGGGCTTAAATTACGTTGAAACATTATGGGGTCACCCAACTTTGAGCTAAATTTTATTTTAGTCATTTTAAATTTGGCTGACTATAATCTTCCATCAGAAATGGAACTCATGGTAGTAACATGGTCGTGCCTTATGCAGGTTGGAAGACAAAATTATTATTTCAGTGGACAACTGATGAGTTGGATTCATTAACGTCGATAATATTTAGCATTAATAGAGTCGATCTATATCACAGTAGACTAAACTCTCTATCCACTATATTTACATTAAAATGTGATACAAACTTATTAGAAGAATTTAGGGGCCACTGTCATCTAAATCAATAATGATCTTTATTAATGTGAATAACATTACTCTAGAAGAAAATCCATCTAAAACTTAGGAAATAACATAAATTTAAGTGAAGTTATCGTTATTGATGACCAAATTCAAATAAAACTAAAACTTGAGTGATGATTTTGGAACAAAAACAAATTTAATGACTAAAATGAAACTTCACGCAAAGTTGAGAGACTTCTTGTGTTTTTTACCATTTACATTATTGAATCCTCCTTTGTCTTTATTTATTTATTTATTTTTTGTGTGCATATCTTTATATTTTTTGTGGTGGATAGGCTATAGCATAGTTTGACTATAAAGCATTTTAAATGTAAAAAAACATAAACCCAACCACCATTCTACCAACGCCAAAATAGTATTTATTGTTCATATTTTTATTTATAAAAATACGTGTTTAATCAACAAAATATATACATACAAGTCTTGCAACTTGCCCTACTTCAAATATATATATTTTGAAACTCGCTCATCTATAATTTTATTCAATCTTAACATATTTAACATGCTTCCCTTTCAACCAAAATCCCAAGTTGGATTAAGTCACTTTTTTACTCGACCCACTTCTGTAAAACTAGTATCTTTACGTCGTCTATGTAATCAAATGAGAATGGCTAATTAATCTAAATCACTAGCTAATACTAATATAAATAATAAATAGTTTTTAGTGGAAATTTTTGAAATTTTAGGGGTTTTCAACTAAAATTTCATTTAAATTAATTAATGAATTGTCTAGTGTGATAAACTTGTCATTCTCCCTTCACATCAATGTCAAGTTATTTATACTCGTAATAGAACACCCTTACTTCTTAAGATTCTCCCTTAAAGGACTACACTATATATTCTATTTTATTCAGATGGTGCACTCTTTGCCCTTAAACTATATATATTATCCATCATGCATAAATCAAGGTATACCTATCAATTATCCAAATATTTTGGAAAGGTGTAGCAGCATGTGAAGTAATAAATAAGGTTTTAAATTCAACAAGTACTATATTCCGAACATGTTGGTGAAATTTTTCTTGATCCATGCTTTCTTTATCCAAATTATGTCAAAGTCATCAATGGAATTCATATGTACTTTGACGAGAAGATTTTATGATATATGTTCTTGACTTGGTTACTAAGCTCATATTTTGAAAGCGATGATAATTTAATAATTAACTTTCGTTATACAAAACGTTTATCCACATTTTATAAGATCTACAATTTACAATCACTTAAATTTTAATTCAATAAAACTTATCAAACTTGCACTAAGTTATGAAGTTGATTTTTGTTATCATAGATTTAAATAATCTCAATAGAGCTTTCAAAATTTTTATTAATTAATAAAAGTGGAAACAAAGGGACATAGCTTGTGTGCGTCTTGTGAATGTCCGTACAATGTCTCTTTAGTGGCATTAATATTTTTGGTATCTGAGTAATTCAAAATTCTACTTCCCACTTCATTGCGCGCGCACACACTACGAAAGATAAAATAATTTAAAATATAATTTAACAACCATAATACATTATATCCTGAAAATCAAGTTAGGACACTTGCTTCGTCTACTCTTTCAACTTTCTAGCAGTGAATCTATTAATTGTTAAGAATTAGAAACTTTAATTCTATATCATCGAGAGCGAATAATTTGCAAAAATGAAAATAGACATGTTAAAACACATAAAATTTATTGACTTCGTCTTAATGTGAAACTATGTCATGTTCTGTCGTTGCACTAATTCATTATGATGAAAAGAAGTTTATAACACATTTTCTTTAATATTTCTTTATCTTTTTTATGACAATACAAAACCCTAATAAAGACTCCATATTAATAAGATAAATTAGGATGAAATCAAAATCACAAATGTGAAATTTTTAAATTATCCTTGCCAAAATTTTGGTCCGGAGGCGAGAGTGGGGCTTCCCTTCCCAACTCCACGACGATCTCAGCAAGGAGGTTGATTCATTACTAACTCCGTACAATGAAAATAATAAAATTTCACAATAAATCGTTGAATGCTTCTACGAGATAAAAGTAGCCTAAATGAATATGTGTTAATTTCAAATGTCCCAATCATGCACACATGAAAACTGTTACATCATTAATTACATCGATGTTATGGATAATAATGAGATTTTTAACTAGGAATATTTTGATCAAGATAAGATTAAGGAAAAAAACAATGGTTTTGGGCCCACTTTTGTAACTAATGACTAGAGTTGGTGAACTAATTAATTCTTGAATTGATGGAACCTGGACATTTTACGTTCATCAGTTGAAACAATCAAATTATTACAAATCAGTCAACAATTTTAAAAGGTTTAGTCAAGATTAAATTAATTTTTATACATTTTTTCTTAAAAATATTCAAAATTTGAAAGTTTAGCGTATACGATTGCATACTTATTCCTAAGTTGATTTTCAATTTTTGAAACGTAACAATTTGTTCTTTAGTACTTTGGACAAAATCAAAATACAAATGCTTGTTAAAGTGCCATGTGACCTCATGAAAGTATGTTTCGACTTAAATACGTGTTTGGGAAGCGACTAAATTAAAATTTAAGTGATTAAAAGTTGTGAGTTCTTGGGAATGTGTTGATAATAAATGCGTCGAAGTTGTTTTGTCTCCTAAGAAATGTGTGGTTAGAAAGTATGCTTGATCAGCTAATATTATAACTATTTAACAAAATATATAAATGATCAAACTTTATTTTTAAACATATATTTTAATGAACTTGTAAGTAGTATTCGCTCATCACCACCGTTTTTTTTTTTAAATAAATTAAGCCGTTTATAAATTATTTCCCAACGAAGGATTAATTACTTCAGAAAGATAGCACTAAATTTTTGGTCTTGTGCATGTTGAGAAGAAAAGTTAGATTAATGTGATTGAACATGCATTAGTCATATGCGACAATTTGTTACTCAGGCAGTATATTGTGAAATTAAACTAGTAATTAATCAAACACCACTTACAATTCTTCATGGCTAAAAGTCGATTTGACATTGTTAGACGTCGTAACCGGCATAATCACGCAATTAAGAACTAATAAAAATATATTTAACTTCAATGTGCAATTCATGTGGGCTGCTATTGGCAACCCTTTAATTACATGTTTAAATAGACTACTAGAAAGGGAACGTACCAACACATTATTGAGCAAGGAGAATTAAGTAAACTAATTTATTCATGGAAACTAGTAATTGGAAGGAAAAATTGTTAATTGTGAAGTTTTTCATGTGTTTTATTGATGAATTTTACTCATCCATTCGTAGTCCAAATGTTGTGCATTTAGTTTATTTGGTTTTTAGTTTATAGAACATTGTAAGCGGTTTTACTTAATTCACAAAAATGAAATATATATATTTTATGATTCAGGCGTTCGAGTTTCGTCTGACTAATTTCACAGTCTATATACACTTGGGCCGAACATTCGGGATGTTGTTCTCCTTTCTATGAACCTCCCTTTATGACGTACAGACAGGATCCCCCGAATGAACGACAAAGCGCATCATAACTTTGTCTCCTCAAGACATCTGCTTTCTAATATAAATATTGTCTTCCAGTTACCGTGGAAATTAAAACCTCCGATACTTTGTTGATAATCCTCTTGTTTTATCACTGTGTCATGTCTGTGGTTTTACTTAATTCACAAATATGAAATATTAGGATTGCATTTTGATTGATTATAGCCAATATTCAAAAATTAAACAAAATGATAAAAGGCTCGCACGAGCAAGATTGAGCAGGCTAGATCTAACCATAGTTTGAGTGGCTTTATTTGTATAATATTAAATTTATAGGGAAATCACAAAAGCATCCCACTCTTGGAACTCAAGATAGCACTTTTATGTTATATAACGCGTAAACCTTTACATAAAGCATACAAGGGTTTCTTGTATCATTTGAACAAATAAAGGTCATATAACTCGATTTGCGTTGGAACAAAACGTGTGAATGTAAACTACTTATAATATAAAAAAGTGTTTACAAGTGGTATTACTTTACACGATCAATATTCAATATTATGGTAGATGATCCCGAGGCAAAGACAAGCATGATCCCACTAAGTTCTTGATATGGGATAAGTCAAATTTCATTCTCTAGCTTGTAATCGTCCCAACATGCTAATAGTAGGACATAAGTCACTTTGTGAATATTACAATATTTTTCAGGTGTCAAAACCTACCCTTATAACATGTTTAAATTGGAATAATTTCAATAATTCTTCAATTTCTATCATTTGTTAAAAAAATGTTGAAGGTATTATGGAAGAAAAAAAATAATATTTACAGTTTTAAGTTTCTAGAAATTATAAATTACAAAATTGTCGAAAAAAATATATAAAAAAAAAAATCCAACAGAAAAAGACAAAAATGTGAATGATGGAGGTTCCAAAAGCCGAATGCCACGGACGGAGCACTATAGCGCGTCCAAATGACGCTCCCTTTAATCTCGTGGACTTTTGAATTTGCCATTGTGGTCCTTAGTGCCCCTGGGTCCCACAGCACTGTACACGCGTCAACTATACACTCCCCCAAGACCACAAAACGCAGGAAGATTCTTATTAAT